TTGGGGGGGGGGGGGAATGGGTGAAGCAGAGCTGTGCCGCTGTGCATGTCGTATCATGTCGTTGCATCGCCAGAGAGAGTTTTGTTTGCAGGCATGGTGATGCAGTTGCTGGCCGGGTCCAAGCTTCTGGAGGTGGACCAGTCCCAGAAGGACAGCCGAGATGCGGGAGTGGGGGCGGGAATGTGCAACAGTGAGATCTAGCGGGGCGAAGCTGCTCTGTCCAAGGCTTTCTTCGGCCTGACGGCATCAGTGATGGTTTTTGTCACAGCTGGAATCCACATGCCAGGAGGATAGAATGCTCTTCCAGGCAGCACAGAAGCTCTTCGGCATGGCAGCTCGGCTGGGCCTGCGCTGTCATGGGAGACCTTAGCAGAGAAGTGGCCAGTTACGTTCCGACGGAACAGTCCTTTCAAGCCTGTCCGACTTAACAGAACGTGTGACAGCATCCAGGAGTACTTGTTATGCTCATCACAGCAACCTCGGGTAACATCACGTCTTCGAGCTGCCTAGTTTTGTACGAACTGCTTCGTCTTTGGGATTCTGCGCAGTACGTGCATGCGCATGCAAGCGGGTGAGACACTGATGCCGTAAAGATTTGAAATCAGACTCAGCACGAGCTTTCATTAAGCTGCTCTACATCTGAATTCTTGGAGGAGTCACATGCGAAACAAATGTCTAAAGCTGCCACACGACCGGGTTACTTCAGACCTGCGCTATACATTGCATATCTGAGATCAAACCCGTGCTAGTCGAGCGTGCTAGAGCTGAGGTCATCACGCTGGGACAGGCCATGGCATATGTCCTGAGTGGCATGTATGGCCCCGTGAAGGCCACACCTCACTTGCCGTTCCCTGCTAGACAGCTTGTGAAGCGGGCGCCAACGCAGAGACTGAAGGACCTGGGCGCCGGCAACGCTATACTGATCATCCTGCAGCTCTTCTGTGCCGGGGTCATCGCCCCTCGGCCGGTCTGGGAGAACCGGGGGCCTCGCCCTGAGGAGTACATCGGCTTCTGCCTGACAGCTCAGGTGTTGATTTTGGATGAACTGCTTCAGAAAGGCTATGGCTTGGGCTCAGGCAGGCTCGGCTACAGGCTATCCAGTCCTTTGCTGTTTTCGTGTGTGCAGGCATCTCCCTCTTTATTGCGACCAACATCTGAGCCTTGCTGGCAAAGGTTTCTGTCATGTGTGCTGAGTGTACTGTGTAACTCGATCTGGCCTTCGTGTGGTCTCAAGAGTGCCAACATGCCCGAGCTTAGGTGAGACTATTTGCTGGAAAGCCTTCAGTCCAACCACCATGAACACAGGCAAGCGGCGCCGGTTAATGGTGAGATGGTGAGGTCGTTGCTTTGCAAGCCCATGTTAATGGAGCAGAATGTTCAGCTGAGCTTTGTGCAGGCAAAGGACCTGAGTTTGAGGGTGCAGTGATTGCACTCTTCCATCTGCTGATCTCGAGGACCGACGCATTGGTACTTTGTTAGGAAGAACTCATGGGCTCCTGGAGTCGTTTGGCCTTGAGGAGCGACAAGATCACTGCGTTGAAAGAAGCTTTCTACCGGCAGACCGCTCCAAACATTACCTCACTCTTCGCAACGGCTGCCGGGCCGAAAGAGACAGTAGAATCTTACTGTAGTGTCTGGAGCTGGCCTTGACTGTTGCACATGCTGAGATTCTGGTCTTCTTCTTCGTGATCTACTTTCAAGGCGAGACATGTGCAACCCATCTTCAATCTTCGATTCACAGGATAGATGTATATAAGTTGTAAGTGCCTACGACTCGCCAGGCTTTCGTGTGGACCTCGCCGTCAAGAACCAAAGGGTTGCACGCTCAAGTACAACTTTCACGCACATCTTCGGGAGTTTTTGCAGTTGCGTGTTTTCTTTGCAAGGTCCGAGGCCAGATGGGCTCGTATCCGATCAAGCTTTTCTACACCTCCAACATCCCGATTATTCTGCAGGCGACACTGCGGAGAGACACCATTGTGTGAAGTCCTGAACAACCTGGCCCCAAACCAAACGGTCCTTTCCTGTTGCCTCGCAGACGGCGCTGGTCTCCAATCTGTATTTCTTCTCTCAGTGCCTCGGTTGCATCTTGGTTTGGCCACCACGGTTCAACAAGACGTCAGGTGAACGTAAACTCATGGTCGATTCTGTGCTGAGGCTGCTTTACAAGCGCTTCAAGGCCTGTCTCTTGATGTGGCAGTGGTGGTCGCTGCAAACGTTCGACAATGATCGTACGTTCTTTACCTTATAAAGACTGAACAGACACGTGACCCGCCCGGACATGCAACGAGAACCAGCATCGACAGATCAATTAGCAGGTGGGTGTGTTGGGATCGGCCAGGCAAACATGTTCGTGAACATGATCGGCCAGTGGCAGGACCGAAGCTGATGGAGGATGTAGGATTGGGAGAAGTCGAAGCAACCAGAAAAGTCCAGGTCTTGAGCCTGATTCCAAAGCCTGCTCCACTTCATTGTCAACTCCTTCCGTGTCTTTGCGTTCTGTTTTGAGTTGATGAGGAGACGGAGATCACCGGCCAGTCGATTCCTGTCGGTGGACTCGTGCAACGAGGCTGCACGCAGGCATGGTGCGCATGTGTTCTTGACTCCTCGCAGGCCGCGCCGCGGTTTGTCTCAAGTAGGCAACTCAGAGTCCGGATGGCCGAGGTATTACATCTCGCCACCGCACTCCTTCGGGGAGGTTTGGGAAGACCCCATCCACGCTCTCTTCTATGCCCGGGACCTGGCTCCGTTGGAGTGGGACACTGGAGGCTAAAAGTGCATCTCGCTGACGTTTCTGCCTGCGAGGTCGTCTTCATCCTCGTCTCCTGCGCACTCTTCTCCAAAGCCCGGAGCTGTGAAACGCGCTGAGCCTCGGAGCGACTCGGTCCGTCTTTTGCAGAGGCATGGATCGACGTCTCGGGCTCCTCCGCGCGCGATGTGGCGAGGCAGCTGCGAGAGCAGCAGCTCATGATGCCAGGCCACGGGCTGCGAGAGCTGTTGCCCGGATTGCTCGTTCTTTCTCCACGATGCGCTGGGCCCAGGCTACCGAGACTCCGATCTGCCCAAAGCATGGAGCTCAGTGGGACGGGATCGGGCACATCCTTGGGTTCAAGATGATGCTCCTCAGCACTGAAAACAAAGCCATCGTTTTGTGCACGAAGGCAATATCAGGTCTGAAGCGGGAAACGCTACATTGAGCAGGGCTCATCTGCCCGTCCCGGTCTGCATGGAGCACTTCGTCCCACGCACTTCGTCCCACGCGTCTTGTGGCCATCCTCAAACGTTTGAAATGCATAAAGCATTTCTTGTGCACTCCCCAGCCCAACATGCGAGTGGGTTCCATGCCTGTCGCCTGCGATCTCTCGAAGGTCCTCAACCGCTACATCCCAACCGCTGCTGCCTTTGGCGGTGCCTGCATTGGAGCGCTGACGATTGTCGCCGACTTTCTGGGTGCGATCGGCGAGGGGCTCAGCTGTGAAGCCGACGGGCAGAAAAAACTCGTGGTTTTGGACAAGGGGAGAGCCATCTGTAGCGACTACTCAGGTAGCGGAACAGGGATCCTGCTGGCACGGGGCTTGGTTGCCCTTGCAGTGGTGAACTGACCGAGTCGGAGTGCGGTGTGAGAGGCGGTGACCATCATCTATGAGTACTTCGAGAAGATCTGCAAGGACACGTGGCCGAGCATTAGCAATGGCAAGGCCCCCGGGCCCGTCGCAGCCTTCTGTCGTTTCGCCTCCCATAAGGTGTGTGGACCCCCAGGGCGGCACTAAGGGCTTCGATTTAAGCCCGATGAGCACCCACACTTTGGTTCGACAGCTGGGGGTGACAGTGCCCCTTTCTTTAGGTTATTTAGGTCTCGCGACTGGCTTAATCTGGCCCTTCCTCGCCGGCATTCCTCCTTGCCCATCTTCTCTTCAGCCGCTTGCTCAGTTTCCCTGTCAAGGTTCGTAAGGAAGCTTACGATCCGAACATAGGACACTTCTCATCATGCTGATACTTCTACCCTTCTCAATACTGCTTCCGCCGCTGCGCTCTCGTCAAAAGACTCGTCCTCGGACTGCGCTTCTTTCCACTTCGTCCAGTACGGCCGCAGCTCCACGTCTTTCCAGTTCGTCCACCACACAGGGCTACTCATGTCGTTACAGCCCCTTCAGCCGCTCCGAGATCGGGGGTCTGAGTAGACGACCGCGGTAAGGCCGAAAGTCCGCTTCTTTCCATTCTCGTCCACCAAGCAGGGCTCCTCATGTCGTCCCAGATCCCCTTTCTCGCCCCGAGATCCGGGGCCTGGGTAAACGACCCTGATGAGGCCGTAGCTCCGCTTCTTTCCATTTCGTCCACCACGTTTGGCGTTTCGGACCCCCCTTCCCGTTTCTTTCCACTTGCTACTCTCCGCCCCGCATTCTGTTGGCTTTGATTTTCGCAGGAAATCCATATCTCCTTGGCTGCAGGTGGAACCCTACCTAGCTACCTAGCTAGCTAGCTAGCTACCTACCTACCTACCTACCTACCTACCTACCTACCTACCTGCCCCTACATCTACCTACCCACCTACCCACCTACCCACCTACCCACCTACCCACCTACCCACCTACCCACCTACCCACCTACCTACCTACAATGGCAAAGCGGAGTGATCCGGAGAAGTCTGCATGCCCCGATTCTGCAGAGCGCAATGTCAGTTCCAGGGGCTCGTCATTCCCTTTTCGCCTGCAGAGTCTCAAAATCACAGGAGGAGGGAGCTGGGGCGTCATTTTTCTTCTAGATGCAAATGTGCGGGACCTCAGATACCAATTCTGATTCCAGTGTGGTTCGCAGTTCAGCAGTTTCTAAGGTTGAAGACACTGTGCTCTGCGACTCGGTCTGGAACAGGGGGTTTAGTCAGGGTCGGAAAAGCTGGTTCAGAGACAAGCGCTCCGCTTCGATCCCCGCTGAAATTCTCAGCCAAGGATGCGGTCTTCTGAAAATGCCACAAATTGGGAGCTCGCTGCTCCACTTCGGGCATTCTTCCCCTGTACGGAAGGGAAACCAAGAGCTTCGTAGAGTTCCGGGGGAAGAATGCCCAAGCTTTGGCTCACCCTGCTGAACTAACACACAGAGAACGATGGAATGGCCAACTGCGCAAGAGATTGCAGCATGGGCCGCCGGAAGACCTCCACTCTGGACCATGTTCACCTAAAGAGCAGCTTTCTGTGAGGGACATCATACAGATGCTTCTGCCAGTGAGAAGCAGAATAGCTAGTGCGTCCTACCGGTCGTCACGTCCATACATCGCCATACCAAGAGCAGGTTTTCTGCTGCCTTCCAGCCATTGTTAGTGATTGCATGACGTTGGGTTGGGGTAGTTGTGGAGGCCTCAATTTCGTCTGTGATGGAACGAGGCCTGCAGGCCAAGACCGCACAACCGCGGAGGAGCAAAACCACTGGGATCCCAGGTGCGTGTTGGGGGCGCGTACTGCAGCTGCAGGGCCTTTGTCATGTTTGCTTTCACCAGACCGCCAGAGCCGCGAAGGCTTTCCCTTTAGGCCGCGCTGGCTGCAGGGCTCCTGAGAACTGTCAGGAGCCAGCTGAAGCCGCCCACGCGTGCCAGCTTTTTCCTTTTTAGTCCTATCCTGCGATTGGTGCCATGCAAGCACTCTGGCCCGTGGGAGCCGTCGCGGGGCTTGGTGCCGTGGACTGCGCGTACTTGACCTACTCGAAGGTGACACAGGTGCCCTTGGCCTGTCCGGTGGAAGGAGGATGCACCGAGGCACGGAGAGCAAAGTTGGAGAGTGGAGAGGACAGCCGAGATTCGTGTGCATCCCGCCTTCAGGTGCTGAATTCCAGCTATGCCTCTATCGGCCCTCTGCCGTTGTCAGCCTTGGGTCTGGTGGCATACCTAGCTGTTGCAGCTTTGAGTGTCTCGCGCCAGAACAAGGAACTCGTGTTTTGGCTCTGCCTGACGATGGCCTTGTCTTCCCTGGGCCTAACCGGTATTCTTATCTTCGTCCTACAAGCACCTTGCCCGTACTGCGCAGCCTCTGCTTTCATTTCGGCCATGCTCCTCACGCTGGTGGAGACACGGCGGGCCCGCGATGCTGCGCGGCTGCTCGAGTCGCGGAAGGCCACGATCGTCCCAACCAACGAGGGCACCGCCGAGGGCTTGGCCGTTGCCGCCGTCGCAGTGGAGAACCTGCCTTCACCCGGCGCCGCGGCCACTGTGGCGCCCCCTGCCGCGGAGCTCGCGGCCCCTGCGGTAACAGCAGCCGAGGAGGAAGAGGCGGAGCCCCGGCGCGCGGTGCTCGGCCTCGCGGGTGTGCTGGCGCTGGGCGCCCTGCGCGGGGGCACCATGCCCTCCCGACGGCTACAGAACGCTTGGGCATACTTCACGCTGCTCGGACCGCACGCCAGCACCGTCTTATCGCCCCTACCAAGCTCTCTCTCTCTCTCTCTCTCTCTCTCTCTCTCTCTCTCTGTGCCAGAGGCTCGTGGAGAAGTACAAGCCGAACCACCCGCCGGTCCTTAGCAATTCCTCCAAGGCCAGGCACGTGCACGTGCATGGGCTGTGTGGCTGCCTGGTGAAGCGCCTCGACTCCGCTTGGGAGGCCGAGATGGCCTTGGCGAGACATCTGCAGAAGATCGGGGCCGCCTGCTACTCGCCAGGGGCTCAGACTTCACTTAGCGCCAACCTGTACCTGTAAGCCCCTATCAGCTGCAGCGTCGTCTTAGGACCTGGTGGTGTCCCCATTGCCAAGAGCAGCGGGAGAGCTTCGGGAAGCAGGCGGTGGAGGCCCGGCCAAGTTCCAGGAAGGATTCTCCTTCGGCCCCTTTCTTGCGGTATGTCGCTTAGGTCGCTCCCTTCGTGGAGTGCTCCTCCAGGAAAAGAGAGCAGCTCCCTGTCTGTCGTGATGCAGACATCGAGAGCTATCCCACCTGGACGCTCGACCTTCGGTATTCTGCGTCTCCGTTTCATGCTTAAAGGCTAAACCCTTTGCCTACCCCCTGTCGCTGTGACCTCGTGTCGTAAGAGTCAGGATCATCAACGGCAAGAAGTGTCTCGCCCGCAAGAAAGATAAGAAAGGCCCCAAGAAGGGGGGTCTCCACCTGGCAAGCGAAGCTTGGTTGTCAGGTATCTCGGAGGCCGAGACCTGTCCGACCTGGCGGAGAAGAGCGGATTCACAGAGTACCCGGCCGAGGCCTTCAAGCCGCGGGACGAGAAGCTCCTGGAGTACATCTGGGGTCCTCCCGAGCCCGAGCCGGAGTTCCCGGAGGGGCCCGACAACGTCTGAGGGTCTCTCCCCTTTGTGGCTCCGGTGCAGAAGAGAAATGTCACGGGGGGGGGGGGGGGGGGTGAGGCTTGCTGCCCTTTTGTTAGATGGGATCCTCGTTGACAGGTGCGTGTCTGTGTGCGTCAGCCAGCGGCATTCACTTTGGAAGGGTTTAGTATCGCTGGGCACCCCTCTCTTTGGCTCGGGAAGCGTTGTGTACTTCAAATTCACTGCCGTGCCTGCGGCAGAGGCCCGCAAACTTTGGGGGTTGCTTGAATGGGAAGTTGCACATTATGCACTTATGCTTCAGGCTTCAGCATGTGCATGGTCCGATACATGGTCCGATAGACGGCAGTTGAGAGCAATCCACAAGTGGATGTGTGGTGGCGTCTACAATGGCAATACGTCTGTTCATGCCAGCTCAAGTTCGAGACCTGCGTAAGGAGCATGGCGATGACACAGCAACCAAACCTGGCTAGGCGAGGGCGCTTTTCTGTCAGCACCCGATTTTGCCGATTTTGTTACAACATCGTTCCTAATTGCACAGATCGCGGTACAACGCCGCCTTCACCTCGTCGATCTTCGAGCCGCCTCCAGCACCGGATGCGGCCTCCTTCGTGCCAGCAGGTGCGGGAGGAAGACAGTTCCTGCAAGGCACGTTTGTTCCCAGCGTTGAGATGGTGCCTAGGAAAACGTCGTGACCAGACGACGGGAGAGCTGTTTGGCAACTACGACGAGAAGGAGGGGTCAATCTGCCCAGTCACTCTGCTGCCTTCCATGCACCACTTGGAAGGACCTGCGCGCCATGCCGAAGACTTTTGTTCCCAAGGAGGAGACTGATTGAAGTGTGTGAAAGCGGTCATATAGCCTCATGTAGACTTCTGTTGCAGGACAACAGGTCGGCCCGAGCTCGCAAGCAGCAGTTCCTTTGCCCAAGCCGGCCTGTGTTGGACTTGCTGGGTGGACATGCTGGCATTTCTCGCGTGAAGGATATTGCGCGATCTTCTGCTTCTGCATCTCGACAGGTTCCCAGGTGCTGCCTGCTAGCAACTACCCGGCTCCCGCACCACAGGCTCCGGCAAGTTTGTGACACTACAGTTGTACAGACCCGCTGCTTACTTCACACAGACTTACATTACGGAAATCGTGGGCTTCAGCCAGCCGCAGCACTCATTATCCCGTCCAAAGATACCTAGCCTTGTGCTTCATGTGGAGGCACGAGAGCGGAAGCCCAATGCAGGCTACGTCGAGGCACATGGGGCCGAGCTTAGCTTTAGTGCAGCTGGCTTGTAGCTTCGTGCTCGACTCAGTGCATGGTACAACGACAGCATCGTAGATCCCTCAGGACGAAGACGATGAGTCTCGAGTAGACACAGCGATGGTGCGGCAGATGCAGTTGTCGTCGAACATGTTCGGCCGGCTTCTGAAACATGTGGAAGGATCTGACGCAGGCAAAAATCGGAGGCACCCTGTGAGCCCAGGCCGGTCTGCTCCAGAGGTGAGCGCCGAGACCGTCCACGACCGTGGCAACCGGCTGATGCCAAACGGCGGGATGGAGCTTGTGGGGACGGGTCATTCTGAGATTCACGCCGGAGAGACGGCATGCCTGTGTCGCAGACTTCGTGTGGCACAGTCACCCAGAGAAGCCGCTGTCACCAACGTACAAAGCATCTCGGTCGCATCTGTCCTCCGCGCGCCCAACAGGGGCTTGAAGCTCGAAGCCGACGCCAGGATGGGAAGACGCACGCCGACCGCGCCTACGAGCAGAAGTGCTCTCAGGTCTTCGAGTACCAATCCCCTGAGGTGGGTGGGATCGGGTGCCCTGCCGGGAGTGAGCTGAGTGAGCTATGCTTCACGATCGCAGTGCTGTCCAGGTGCGGAAGATGCATGCGGACCAAAAGCGCCAGGAGCGCCGGGAGGCGCCTGCGACAAGAGAGATAGGAGATCCACGCAGCCGCCACGAGTAGGCTGCCAAACCTTTGCTGTGTTGCTTTCCACTTTCTCTGCTTTCTGAGATGGCTGCGCTGCATTGGTTCAGAGCGGTAGTAGGCTGAGATCCAGGGCCTTGCCTACGCCGACTCGCCTGTTTGCAATGCTTTTCCAATGGGAACAGTTCTTCTGGAGCTACCTGGTCCTCGGGCCATACCTCATGACGTACTCCTGGCTTCCCGTTTGCAAGCACAGAAGGTAAGGCCTGTGAGTCGAGGCAAACATGCTAGCGCACGAAGCATAGCTCAACCGGCCCGCGCCAGCAAAGAACGGTGGTTTTCTTACGTGTAGATTGTTTTGGCAGCTTGATTGTTTTGGCAGCTTGACGGGACTTTCGTGCTGCCTGGTCGCGTGAATGATCACGCCCCTGGCTGCCAAGGGATTCATGTTGACGTAGTGTCTCATAGTCTTTCACTTTGAAGCACTGTTCAGCATTGCTTCTTCACACCGGCCACTGTTCTCAAGAGTGTGTAATTCTTGGTTGCAGGGCTGCGATTTCATCTTGAGGTATGTTTTTTGGGCCGCGGGGGCAGCGTGTCGCAGTCGCAGTGGCTGTGGCAGGCAGAGCAGAGGAGAGCAGGAGCAGGAGCAGGAGCACGAAAGCCATACGAACGCACCTCCCTCCTCCCTCTCCCCGAACAGTGCAACACAGAGACGAAGACCTTCCTGAAAAAAGGCAACAAGCAAGAAGACTAGCCTGAGCATCCGGAAGCAGTGCGTTTGAGCCGCTCGCACCCAGGTCGTTAAGTTTTTGGATCCGGCTCTTCGCCGGCTTCGTCGCGCTTAGCCAGGCTATGACCCAGGCCTGCAAGCATGAGTTGGGCTCAAGCAGAGCGCTTGGGGGAGAGGGAATGGCCTCCGAGGGGAGCATGGCCGTTGTTGCAGGTGTTGCTCCAGCAGCCGAACCTCGCAGACCCGGTCTCCTGGTCACAGTTCGTGCCTCATGCAGTCTGCTTCGGCCTTTCCCGTCAAATTAAGGCCAATCCGTTTGGCCACGTGAGCCAGAATGCCATCGGCCTTTGCATCGGGACAGGGGTCAGTGGTGCGTTCTTCTGCGCTCTCTCGGAACCCGTTGGCCGCTTGGCGGAGTCTTGTCGGAGGCGTTTGTTTCGGGAAATCATCTTCGAGTGCTCGAGGTTTGCTGGTGCTACAGCTGTGGGGCGTCTACTCTATCTACACTTGGTGGGTGGTGTCGGTTGACAACTACTCTCCGCCATGGCAAAAGGAGCATCATTGGGAAGGAATTTGGCACAGTCTTACCGGCGGTAACGATTGTGTCATCGCAATCTACCTCCTTTGCTTGGGGATGTTCCTGGGCCACGCGTGTGCCTTGCTTTCACATGGTGCAGCTGCACTGACATCCATCCATTCCCAAACAGCACTCTCGCACCCCAAAAAAGAGGCGTGCGCTGGCCGCGGCAGCTTAGCCACTTTCTTGCTGGCGTCTCTGGTGCCGCAGCTGGGGCCCACGTGACAGTCCAGGCCATCTACTTCGTGTGGAGTGAGGACCCGGAAAGAGGCTGAAGCGATATGTGCGATGCACCTGACGTTTGCCTAACTGCGGGTGCGATGCCTTAGGACGGGATCAACGGTGCGCTCGTGTACGGGCTTTTGGTGCAGAATCGTGCCTTGCATGTCCACGCTGTCCGACATTGCTGTGAAATCTCTTTCTTTCATCCTTTCCCACGCGTGCGGAAGAGCGCAAGATGTCTTTCTCCGTTGTGCATGGCCGTTAAATATTAGGCAACGCCGCAATGCCCGGCTAGTGAAGCACCTTATTTGATGTGTGCTGGTGCACAACGTTGAGTTAAAGACTATCCAAGGCGTTCAGTGGTGCACTGCACGATCTTCCTGCCAGATCTTTTTCTACACCTTCTGGGTTCTCGTCATCGTCAGCCTCATTACACAGCAGCCGTGCTCGAAGACGAGACGAGCACCTGACTCCTGTTAGAGACGAGGAGCTGTCGCATCCAAGGTACTTCGTGGCCAGCTTTGTGGGCCTTGCGCGACCGCACAAGCCTTTCGAGCCCAAGAAGTTCCGGTGGCCTGGCCAACGATGACGCAAAAGCTTTCTATGGCCTTTACAAGCATGGCAGCAGCACAGGCACCCCACAGAAGGCAATCCAGTGGCGACCTGCTTGGCTCTCGGAGGCCATGTGCCCAGTCCCCTTGCAGTCCCCTTGCGGTCGCCGAGGCTTGGAAGATGGACTGCCGATGTCTGGAGAGGACGATCAGGATGACGAGAAGGCTTGGATCCTCATGCTTGGCTATGGCACGCCTTAAGATCCTTAAGCGGAGTCGCTGGCAGGAAGTGGACGACGCAAATTGCCTCCGGAGGTGCTTCGGGAAGTGCCTGGACAAGAGCAGCCAGAAGCCATGCATGCCATGCAGTGCGTGTCGCATGAGCCTTGGAGCCCAGGAGAGACCCGAAGAACACTTGGGCCGCCAACTTGGCCACGCCAAGTTCTGCGTGGATCTTCCTTTTCTTCGTGGTGCTGTGCCGCGGCAGCACACCGGCATACTCACGCATAGCTGCTCATGCAGAAGGCAACAAGCATCTGGACCACTCCCGCTCAAACTTCGCTTGTCTAGGCTGTCGTGCATGGCAACCTATGCCTTCACCTTCTTCGTGTACTGGGCACTTGGGCAGCAAATCCCTCTGCAATGTTGCATGTGCTGACTGCTTCTGAGCAGGTTTCCATCGATTAGGTTCCAGCGTGCTGTCGGAGATTGCTCTGTATCTCTGGCCACAGGCGGATGGCACCGAAACGAACTTTTTCATCGGACTGGTCTATGTGGTTGCGAATGCGTTCTGTCTGTGGAGCATCATCGAGCGCCCCGGAAGTCCAAATAAGTCCAAGCCAGCTTTCTGGAGGGGTGAACAGCGTGCTAGAGGGCATCGGAGGCCTCCGTAGTTGCTTTCGGCTGCAGGTTCTTCCTGACCACCGTTTGGTTCCACGCAATCCGGCTCATTCTGGGCATGCCACGGCTACCTCGCAAGGATTTTAGCAAAGGCCAGGTGGTGTCGTGGTCAGAAGTATTCCGTGTGTGGATTTCTCTATTCTTGTTCTTTGTGGGGACGGTGCAGGTCTGCCCAAGACTGGCCGCACCATCTTGTCCTACTGCCTGCTCTCGAAACAGCAGGTGCAGTTGTTTCGAGAGGGCCGAGTTTATGGATTCTTCTAGACCGCAGCAATCTGCCTTCAGCAAGTGTGAGCTGTGTTACTAGCCACCCACGACTGTAAACTGAATGCAGGTGACGCTAGGAGAAGGAAGGGCGGCAAACCGGCAGAACATGCGTGGACACATCACGATCTCAGAAAATTATGTCTTTCCGGTCACAGAGCGTTCTGCAGGACCTTCTAAAGAGACATTGCTTCCGCGAACCCTTCCGCGCGCAGTCCCAAGCCAATCTCGGGATCTCGCCAGGGAATTATTTCCACGCTACGCATACACATCTTCCCAAAAAAATGACGGGCACCTTCTGCGGAAGGCCCGCGGAAGCTGCGCGGAAGGGGATTCCTCCAAAAGTGGTGTCGTGGGCCTTGTTCTTGCAGCCCTGGACTGACAGTTACCAGGACATTGAAGGATGGGTTGTAGAGATAGAGGAATTGAAAACAACGCTCGGTCGGTTGCACGGGATCCTGGAATTTTACATTGGATATACACTTACTTTACATCGGATAAGGGCAGTGCGGCTAGGACTCCAGTCACAAACCTGTCGCTGAAAGCGTTCACCATTCTAGAACAGGCCTTGCCAAGACTTCAACCTCATGCGCCGACGGGAAACTACCGCAACATAGCGATCACATGCTGCGGAAGGGATTCTGCGGAAGCATGTGGTGTGAAGAGCCCCGCGGAAGCACCTGTTCGCGTGCGGAAGGGATGCAGAAAGGAAGATTGATTTTTCCTCTAACTTGTTTGTCAAAAATCCAAAGCTAAGTGACTGTACCTGATTTGCAGGAGTCTTCGGAGGACACATTCCGGACCGCCCTGGCGGCCCACCTGGCCAACCTGGACCCGGGAAAAATGCTTGTGCGTGGCTTTCAATGCTGTGGGTCGAAGATGGTCGAGGGACTTTTGTGTCGCCCGGAGGACCCAGAGTCCCGCATCACCACGGCTGTGGTCTCCGTGTCCTCTGCGCTCTCCATCGTGCGCTGTGCGCCTGGGCCAAAGGGAGACAGCCTCGCAGTCCAGGGACCCTTCTGGGGCGAAGACAGGTCTCATTGAGGTAGTCGTACGGGGGTTCTTGGCAGAGCCCACAGTCTCCGATGTCAGGAGATGGACTGCCGAGACAAGTGCCGACAGGAAATCACGACGCTGCACGGTCGCAATGCGAGCTCTTAGCGTTTCGCAGCTCTTGTGATCAGATGGTCGCCGACAAGCAAACACTGGTTTCGGTATTCCATGTTCCAGCAGTCTTTCTCTTCAACGGCCTTTAAGATGGCTCTTGGGCCAGCCCCAGGATTCTGACGTCGGAAGTCAACGCGCTGCTCCAGACCTTCCCCAAGGCCTCATCTAAACCCTAAACTTGCCCTAAAACGGCCCTAAAACGGCCTGCAAAAACCCGAATAAGCCGTGGCTTTCCGGGGGGGTACCTTATTTGGGGTCCTCATAATAAGGATCCGACTATTTAGGATACTATAGTGGGGTCCCCTATTTTTGGCGGGCCCCTAAGCCCTAAACCCTAAACCCTAAGCCCTAAGCCCTAAACCCTAAAGGCCCCTAAACCCTAAACCCTAAAGGCCCTAAACCCTAAAGGCCCCTTAAAGGCCCTCTTTTTGGGGAGGCCCTGGAGCAGAGTGACCCGGCCCTGCGGCTGCGCAGCGTCTGCAGCGCCCTGGAGACGGTGGGCAAGGCGAGGTCGAAGTCTGAGCTCAAATAATAATAACATTAATAAAAATAACGAAAATAATAATAATGATAGTAATAATAATAATAGTAATAATAATAATAATACTAATAATACTAATAATAC